TCATATTTCTTCCTTGAAACCATGGCCAAAATCTTGGCCTAGCCTGGCCCTCACCTCCACTGATCAGCCTGTCACCCTGGAGCTCTCTAGCCCAGTCACATCCCTGGATCTCCTGCTGCCACACGCTAACTCTAGCTTGGCCAGTCATTCTGCTTTTCATTCAGCTCTGTAGCAGGAGCCTTCTTGGGAAGGACCCATCTCTCCCTTCCCTGAAAGTCCCCTGCTGGAAGAAAGCTTACCATGTGCTTAACTTGCTTCCCTCACTGGGCTCCAAGCCCCACATGAAGGGAAAATTCTCCATCTCCTTCAGCTCCAAGCCTCCCTCTTCTTGGCCCAGAAGTCCTCTAGCTGTCCCACCAGACTGCCTTCCCTCCTGCACTCTGCCACCTTCTGCCTCCACCCTAGGCTGTCCTCTGTGCTTGCTTACCTGCTGCCTGAACCTGCTTCCTTGCCCAGGTCGTGGCCTGGCCAGTACCCTCTGCCCCCATCACTAGACTGCAGGCCACCTGTCACCAGAGGAAATGACCAGGCTGCTTCCATTGGCTCTCTGTCTCCTCCCATTCCCTGGCTTACATGCAGGTTCCCCCCAGGCAGGAGCTTGACCTCATGCTGCCTGCTGCAATCTCCCAGCCCTGGGCATGCTGCAGAGCAGAGCAGGTATCCAGAGGTACATCCTGGATAACAAGTGAAAGTGTTGGCCCACGGTGACTGAATAAGTGCTGAAGGTGAACCTGGGCTCTCTCCTGCACCATTGCCCAACGCAAATCAATCCTACCCCTGACAAGAAAATAACTCCAGGCCCTGGGGACCCAACCAGGGGACTGACACAGCATTGCCCAAGGACAGGCTGGACCCTGGGGCCTAGGAGCCGTGACTTCCCACCTAAGTTGGCCAAGTCCAGACTGACTAGAAGGCAGGCCTGCTCTGCCAAGGTATAGGCAAGACCCCACCACCTCCTGAGGGGCCTGAGGCCCCTCTCTGTGGCTACAATATGCCAGGCTGAAGGCTGGCTACCCTCCTCGTGGAACGTGGGACCATGTGGTGGTGATGAGGTAGGACAGAAGAAAACAAAAGAAACACTAAACTTGGGCCTTTCAATAGTCTTCCCTCTGCTTGGGAGCACTTTCCTGTCCATGAGTCCCCAAGAGTGTCACAGGGCAGCAAGGGCCAAGCCCCCGCCCTTGCCCACCTGATGCATGCCCTTGAGGGGAGCCTTCCTGGGGCTGGACTACAGGCCTTAATCCCCTGACATTGATGACAAGTGAATGACTAAATTGACCCAAAATAAAAGTCCCCATAAATCTGATATTTTGCTTTAAGCTGTCGGGTACACAGACTGTGCTGGGATTATTGATAGAAAAGTTTATGGATGGGCTGCATCTTAAGATCAAAATACATTACCCAAAATCAATGTTGCTGTACGTGGCACAGGGAGGACAGGAAAGGTCAGCCGAGACAAGAATACCGAAACCCCAACTCAGAGAGGGCCTGAACATTAAAATAAATAAGTTTTGAAAGTGATTCCAGGAACAACATTCACTTAGGGCTGTAATTTAAGGGTGCTTTCACTAGCGGCTGGGCAAGCTTTTTAAATATCACTATGTGAGGTCCCTCTGCAAGCACAGAAGAACATCTACGAAACAGTACTGACAGGCACTGAGCACCTAAGCCCAAAGCCCAGTAACAGCAGCAGTGATAACGGTGGATGTGGAAGGAAGCACCCAGGCTGGGCATACAGGCAGCAGGCCCTGACAGAAGCCAGCCCATGGGCGCAGCCACCTGGACAAGCCAGGAAGACTGTGGGCCTGGCAGGTCATATAACAAGAGGTATCACTTCCAGCTCCCTGGCCACAGTGACCCCACAGGCAACTTCAGAGCTATGCTTGGAGACAGGGAGGGAAATAAGGAGAGGAGGGAGGGAGAGAGGGAGGGAGGAAGGGAGAGAGGGAGGAAGGTGGAGGGGGAAATCCTTCCCCTACCTACTGATGAGCAATCAGAGCCAGAAACCAACCAGTTGTGAAATGTTCTCATGACGCTACTTCAAATCACATAAGCAAGATACACTCTCAACAGGGCATTTTGTGGTAGCCCAGGGGACACTTGCAGTTGGTAGGGCAGGATGACTGTGTCCCTAGAGAGAAGACCTATCCCTTGGGAGAAGCAACACACAGGCTTCACCACAGATGCCTTTTCTATAGCCACCAAATGAAAGAGCACAGCTCACCGGGACCTGACTCGTCTGCAGGTGTCGGCAAAAACCCATGGGAACTACAGCCTCGTTTCAGCTGACTGATCCTACAACTGGTCAAAGGACTAAGTCAAAGTCCCTGCCTGATCTACCAGAAAACCCCAGGCAAAAGACTAGAAAATGCCCCTTTTGCACCTCTCCTAAACAACATCCTAGTTCAAACAGTCACTGGGCCCTAAATCTGCATCGGCCCAGCTGAGGGGTAAAGACAGAAGGATGATCCCATCACTGCCCATGAAGTCCACAGCAGGGACAGAAGAGCAAACAGACCCTTCTACCCAGCGATAAACAGGCATAACAGAGATTACAGCTGACTGAGGCTGCTTCTGGCTGCCACCAGGCCAGGCCAGGCCAGGGAACCTTGCTATCTTGCCAGCTCTAGGTATAGGGCATGGGCTAGAATCTTACTTAATATAGGTAAGAGATGGGGCTTTGGTAAAGAACTGACATCTCAGAATAAGGAGGACCTGGATTGGTACCTCACTTGGCCACTTGTTGGCTGTGTGACCTCACAGAAGTTTCATAAGCCCTCTGGGTTTCAGCCACTTCATCCATATAATAGGGTAAAGTCCACTGTTTGTCTTGTGGGGTTGCTATAAGGATCAAATAATCTCACTCAGGAACTCTACAAATGTTCACTGAATATCTTCCCTGTACCAGCTCCTGTTTTAGTGGACTGGTGCTACATCAGGACAAAGAGTTTTACAGACCTTGAAATGCAATAAACAAGTCTATTGCACCATATGTTGGGAGGTGGTTAATGGGAAGGAAAATAGAAAATGGAGAACAGAATGACAGGATAGGGTACTGGGCAGGGAACTGCAGATTGCCATGTCAGACAAGATGGTCCAGGTGGGCCTCCTTGAAAGGTGACTTTCCAACAAAAGCTGGAACATTATGCAGTGAGCCAAGCAGGTGCTGCAGAGTAGAGTATCCCAGCCAGCTGGAATGGGTCATACAAAGGCCCTGGGGTAGGAACAAACCCAGTGTACAGCCCTGCAGGAAAGGCAGTGTGGCAAGAGGCATGTGGGCCAAGGAAGGGACAGACGAGGTGAGGGAGGCAAAGGCAGAAAGGAAAACAGGGTTTGTGGGAAGAGAACATTTGACTGTATCAGGCCACAGGTGTTTATGCCAAATAAATTGCGAGCTACTTCCAGGGTTTTGAGCAACAGAAAGGTGATCTTGTCTCTGCTGGAGAAGGATTTCTCTGTTGTCATGTTGAGAAGGGAAGCATAGAGACTGTGAAGCTGGTGTCTGCTACATGAGAAGCAGGTTGTAGCACATAGCTATTATTACTCTTGTGAGCAATATTACTAACTCAAGCCACGAGCAAGTAACACTCTACCCCACACAGTGGACAAACAGCCAACCTCAAAAGTAACCAAGATATGCTCCCTCTAGCTGCAGGAATTCTCCCCTAGCATGTTCCAGTCACTGGCCTTCTGTCTCCGTGGGATCTGGTACCCGGAAAGATTGCTGCCTCTGCAGGTAGGCAGTCCCCTGCACAGAGAGCTAGTGCTTGCCATCAGAACCCTGCTAGGAATCAGTCTCCAGAGGCAGTCTGCTTTCCTAGAACCCAACTATAGCCCTGAATCTGTGTGACACAGTGCAAGTCTGCCCCCTCCCTTCAGAAACTGAGGACAGCAATAGCCCTGAGGGTCTCACATTCAAGGGTCCAAAGTGGCTCCATAAGGCAGATGGCATTCTCAAGGGAGAGGTGGCCAGAGGTGATGAAATCACAGGAGGTACTGGCAGCTGCCTCTTTGGAGCCCCTGGAGATGAGCTCCAAGGAGAGGAAGAAAGTCCTGCACTGTCCTCCTGTTGTAGCAGGGGACCTCGGTGAGCAGCGAGCACCAGAGACCTAAGGGTAGAGATGGTCTGAAAGTCCTTGGTATTGGATAAGGACTCTGAAGCCCAGGATGGAAGGGCGTGTGGTACTCAGGGGCACCTACTGGTGGGAACAGGCTGAGAAGGGCTGCGGCTTCCTCAGAGTCTGTGCCACTAGCTGCTTGGACTGCAGGAAAGTGGGTCCCTTCTGGCTTTTCTTCTCCTGGAAACCCCCCAGCAGCGCCTGGGGAGGCTGGCGAATGGGCAAGGCAGATTTGGAATCCAATGAGTCGCCCCACCCAACCTCAGGTCAAAGCTGAGGGGTCCAGGTCTGGGCTAAGGACAAAGATAAGGAAATCCACCGGCTGGGAATTCTGGTAGGGAAGGGAATGCGAAGAGACCCAAACCGAGGTATGGGACTGGCCCTAGGCCTCTGTGCCCTGTCATCCACACAGCCACCTCACATCTCCCTTGAGGACCAACCCGCACTCTCACAGTGGCTGAAGTGGCAGGCTCTGGGTGACATCTGAGAGAGGCACTGGGATGCCAGGCTTGCGGGGAGGGGGGAAGGGGGGAGGATGGGCTCCGGAGAGCCGCTGTGGACGAGACCTCTGCCTCTCCCTACCTCGGGGTCCCCCCTGCACGAGTAAAGAGGGAGAAAGGGCGAGCAAAGAGCTGTGGGACTCAGGGACAAGCTCTCGAGGGGCAGGAACCCCGCCCCCGCCCAGAAACCTCCCGGGTCCTAGTCGTGCCCGGCGCTCCCCACCCCACCCCACCCCCCCCGCCTCTGCCGTCACTCACGGCCGCTGCTCGCCTCTCGCTGGTGCGCTTTCCGCGCCACAGGCACCTGCTCGCCCCGCGCTGTGCGCTCACTTCTGGCTCACACACTGCAGACTCGGCGTCGCCGCCGTCACCGGGCCGCGTCCCCGGCCCGGCACAGCGCTCCGCCCTTCTTCCCGGCCCCCGGAGCCCACCCACCCGCCATGGCCTGAGCCAGGGCCAAAGAGTGGTGCAGCTCTTTACCCAAAGCCGGGTAAGGAGCTGAGGCCCGGGGCTACGGAGAGGGCCAGGGACCCACGGGGACAAGGACGAGTGGCCTCTCGAAGGATGGAGACTGGGAAGAAGCCAGGGAGAGTTTAGGTGGGAGGACCCCCAAGCAAAGCGGGTGCGGGGCGGAGCTGCGCTCCAGCCAGAGAGATGGTGGTCCCTCCGAGCGACCCCCGCAGAGGGAGGGAGAGCTCCAGGGCGGGGGCGGTGCGGGCCACGGCAGGGGAGGGGAGGGGAAAGGAGGGCGGGGGTGATGCGGCGGTGGAGGCGGCTCGGCGCCCATCCACTGACCGCCCCCTCTCTTTACTTCCCCTCCCCCTCCCCTCCTCTCTCCGGCTCCGGGTCCGCTACGCCGGACCCGCTCTACCCGCGCTGCGTTGGGTCGGACGCCAGGTCTGCGCGCCGCGGCTGAGCGCCCACTCGCGTTGCGGAAAGATCCGCGGAGAAACCGGCGGGGGCGGCGGCGGGAGAGCTCGGCGGGAGCCGGAGGAGGTGGCAGTCGGGAGCAGAACCAGAGGAACACGGGAGACACTAGCTCGCCGCTCAGAGACGCGCACTCTCTCGGCCAGGGATGGGTCCTGGCGCAGCCCGGCCCCTTCCCCGCCCGCCGGGCAGAGACTGAACAGAGCATCCCTGTCGTCCGGTGGATAAGCGGACAGAGGGAGTCACTGCCCGATCACCAGTACCCTCACGGCGGGACCTCGCCCGCTGCGCACTCCGCGCAGCGCCCCCAGCCGGAGCCGCGCCGGGCCAGCGGGCGAGGGAGCGGGGCTGATTGGCGGCCGCCGGCGGCCAGGGGAGGGGGCGCCGTGCGGGGCCATGGCAGGCTCCGAGGCGTCCTAGCCCTAGCGGGAGCCGGAGCCGAACCCAAGCTGCTGCCACCACCGCCTCTTCGCGCCCCGGCCCCCGCCGCAGCTGCGCCCCTGCGGGAGATGGAACAGCGGAACCGGCCCGGCGCCCTCCGATACCTGCCGCCTCTGCTGCTGCACGCCCTGCTGCTCTTCGTGGCCGACGGTGAGCGCGGGAACTTCGCTGCCGCGGTGGGTTCGGGGAACCCTCAGCGGGGGCCGCCGAAGATAGCTTGCCTCGGCCGCCACAGGAAAAAAAAAAAAAAAAAAGGAGGAAGAGAAGGAAAGGGAAGGCTTCGAGGTCTCCAGCCACCCCTGCGTGCAGCCTGGGCCCGGATGGGTAGGGGGAGGAGAGTCCGGCCGGTCCGGCCGCGGAGAGGAGGATGCGGGGAGCGAGAGTTGGTGCGCCCCAGCCCAGCTCTGGTGGTGCGGCCCAGCGCGGGGGAGAAACGTGCCTGCCCCTGTCGCCCCGCCCGATCCAGGGGAAGCAGCCAGCAGTCGAGGCCGGTCTCGGCACCCGCCCTGCAGCTACCCTGCTGAACTTTGCTGGCACCTCGGGCGGTGGACCAAAGAGCAGCTGGGGAGAGGGGGAGCCCAAGGCCAGCGATCGAGCGAGCGGGAGACCGACCGCCTCGCCTAGGGTTGCCCCAAGCCCCCGCCCTGCAGCTGGTCACGCCTCTCTCTCCCCCGCCCCCAGCTACATTCACTGAAGTCCCCAAAGATGTGACAGTACGGGAGGGAGACGACATCGAAATGCCCTGCGCGTTCCGAGCCAGCGGAGCCACCTCGTACTCGCTGGAGATCCAGTGGTGGTACCTCAAGGAGCCGCCTAGAGAGCTGCTGCATGAGCTGGCGCTCAGCGTGCCCGGCGCCCGGAGCAAGGTAACCCGCCGGCTCAGGCCAGGGGGCAAAGAGGGTTACCCCGGGAATGAGGCAGCAGCGGGTCCATGGACACGGGGTGCCTCCCTGTCACGCAGCCCACCCTCTGAGTCCCCACAGCATCTTCCGAGTCAAGGTTTGTTATTCCCAAATCTTGCCGGTTCTGAGTCGCCCTTCCGCAACCTCTCAGAACTCTATTCACGCCCAGCCCCTAAAAACAGACACCTCATCCAGCTGCCAGTTCCTAAGGCCTTCGGGACCAGCATCTGAAGTGTTGCTGGTGGGAGAGGCAGGATCACTTGATCCCACCAGTCTCTACTGGCCCTCAGTCGCTCTGAGTTCCCTCAGGGCACAGGGCCAACGAGCTAAATTCCTCCGGGCTGCATTCCAGAGACGGGCAGAGCCCCGCGTACAGGGGAAACCAGGTCACCTCTGGCTTCCCCAGGATCCGAGTGACGGCTTCCCCCTAGCGAGACGCCATCTGCCTTATCACCCATATTGTCTTACACTTGCTCCAGCATACACTCCTCACGCCTGCACACCTGCCGACATTGTCCTCAGGGTCCCACTCAAAGTTACGGCTCCTGTCCAGACACACCGGCCCTTCCATCCAGTTTTTCACGATTCCTAATTAATTAAATTGAAGATTTGGAGGAACTGAGCAGGCAAAGCGGGTGCTCTGCAACAGAGAGAAACAGCCCCTCAACCCAGCTCCCCTCTTCCGGCGGCAGGTGCGTGCTAGGGTAGGCACTCCTTGTCCAAGCCCCTTGCTTGTTCCCAATTCTGCTTCCTTCTTAACAAACTGCTGTAAATCCTGGCGTCTTTTGGGCCTTCAGTCCTCGCCCCCTCCCCTGCCCGCCTGCGAACTCCAAGTAGTGTCAGGGCCTAGCCAGCCTGCGTAGGGTCCCCTGGCCACAGTCAGGTCTGAGTTCTCTAAGCTCTAATACCACCAACCTAATGTCTTTCCCTCCCCTTTGCATTTTAGGTAACAAATAAGGATGCAACTAAAATCAGCGTAAGTGTGGAGCCCAGCGTGGGCCGCGTGAGCCCCCTTCCGGCCGTTTAGCGCTGCGCAGCTCCCTCCCTTTTACCGCGCCTCTGACAGGGCTTTGCAGAGCCGCGCTAGCGGCCTGGTGTCCTCGGCTGCTTGGCGAGTCTGGGCTCCGGTAGCTGGGCCAGATTCACTTTTGTGTAAATCAAGGGTCCAAGGCTTGAGTTCCCACAACTCTGCTGGTGGCTTACCTGTAAACTTTTCTTCCCCGGAACCGCGCATGTAGTCCGCTCAGTCGGCTCCCTTTCTCCTGCTGCCGCTTCTCCTAGCGCCGCGACAGCGCAGCTGCTCGCCGGTGCCGCGGCCGGTATTGCCGCTTTCCACCTTCTCTGCCTCGCCCCTGCGCCCCGGCACCCTAGCAAGAGCCGGCTCCCTCCGACTGCGCGCAGAGCACTGTAGGAGTTTCTCCGAGCTGTGCAGGGTCGGCTGAGGAGAAGGCGTGTGCCAGCTTTGGGGGGTGCGGGGGAAGGGGCGCGGAAGTAGCAGGGCTTGAAGACCAGGAAAGTCTCCTGGGTTCTGCGCAGAGGCGAAAGCTCCCCGGGTGGTCAGTGAGGGCCACTGAGCGCCTCCAGGAGGTCGCTGAGGAGCGCTTTGTTGTGAGCTCCAGTCGAGTTAGCTGAAAGGTGGGTTCCCAGCTGGAGACCAGGAGGGTCAGGCTGCAGTCTGGGTCCTTTGGAGGGCAGGGGTGGGGCGTTGGGCTGAAGTAGTACTTGGAAAGACATGGACCCGTACTGAACAGAGCCCCAGCGCCAAGTTTTTTGAAGGTCAAAGAGTGGAAAAGCAAAAACTCCCAGAAGAGGAGAAAAGCAGATGTGTGGAGACAGGCGGAGCGGGGTGGGGATGTGCAAGGTGCGGTGGCAGGTAACACGACGAGGGCCAGGAAACTCAGGGCAGTGGGCACAGCAACGCGGCGACCAGGAAGAGTGCCACTGAGGAGCCAAATGAAAGAAGAGAGGAGTTCTGGGAAGTACTGGGATGTACCGAGGGTGCGATGGCAGAGTTGGGTCGCTGATAGCCCCAGCCCTAGGAGCAGGTCTGGGCTCTACCAGCCTGGGCTCTAACCCCGCTCTCTTGCAGACGGTGCGCGTTCAGGGCAATGACATCTCACACCGGCTTCGGCTGTCGGCTGTACGCCTGCAGGACGAGGGCGTGTACGAGTGCCGCGTGTCAGACGACAGCGACGACCACACGCAGGAGCACAAGGCCCAGGCGCTGCTGCGCGTGCTCTCGCGCTTCGCGCCGCCCAACATGCAGGCTGCAGAGGCCGTGTCGCACATCCAGAGCAGCGGGCCACGGCGCCACGGCTCCTCCAGCGCCGCCCACACCAACCACGCGGGCGCCGCGGGCCGCACCACCTCAGAGCCGGGTAAAAGCGACAAGAACCAGCTGCCTGGGAGCCCTCCTGCCGCCCACGGACCCGAAGTCCCCGAGACCGCCGCCGCCTCCGTGGCCCACACAGCCACCACCACAGTGGCTGCTGCAGCCGCGGCTTCGTCAGCGTCGCCGCCACCCCGCCAGGCGGTGCTTCTGCGCCAGAGACACGGCTCAGGTAAGATGGGTGCGGGAGAAGACGCACTCGGGTCTCTGTTGTTCTCCTTGGCCTACCTTGAATCGTTGTGGGCGCTTTCCCAGCCGTGTCCCCGCCCCTTCTCTGTCTTTACCGCGGCCTTTGGGGGTTTCAATCATGCGCATTTATGAATGTCGGGGCTGCCCTGCTGCTTCAAGGATGGAACGCAGGTGGCTGTCTTGGTTTGGGAAACCGGACCTGTGGGTGGCGCTCCCTCTGCGGGAGGATGGGCGTTATTCCTGGAGCCCTGCGCGTGCCTCGGGGCTTTTCAGCGATCCCGACCCCGCGCTGAGATTGGGGGGAGGTAGTTAAAACTGAGAGTAAGCTCATTTGAACACACCTTGTCCTGGACCGTATGGGCAGGCCTGGCTGTGTAGCCTTAGCCTGTCCTCTCTTAGGCTGATGGGAGAAGGATCCTAGGTGCTGGCTTGGTCTCTGCTTTCTGCTATAATTCGCTCTAATTCCCCTAGGGCCCTGGGGAGGGGAGAGAGAGGCCCACGTCGCTGTTAGGTAGTCACCAGAGGTTATGACTGGCTTCCTAGGATGCTCAGAGGGCTGGGGACAAGAGGATTTGGGGGAGGGTGTGTGGCAGAGTGTTGCAGGCAGCTCCCTGAGGAGTTACCCAGCAGTAGGGTCTGTGGTGAGGAGGGCCTGCTGCCCAGTGTGCCCCCCCCCAGGAGTCCCCACTCTCTCCCGGCTCTTAGATCCGCCTCAGTTCCTTGGCCCCCTCACCCAGTCTGATTGGAAGCAGACTGCTTGAACCCCAGCCCCGGATCTTCATGTCCTGTGATGCAGAGTCCCTCTGAGAGCATCTGTGGTGCCCTTCCAGCCCTGAGAGGCTGGGACAGTCACATATAAAGCCTTCCCCAGGCAGGTGTGATGGAGGCATAGTCCTGCCTCTACCAGAACAGTCCTCAGAGTGCTGCCACCTGCTGCCAGCCAGGGAGGCAGGCCTGGGCTCCGTCTCAGGTCACTGTCTTCTCCCCCCTTCCTGGCTGATTCTTCACCCCTGGAACAGTGGCTGGTCCATCTCGCATGTCAGCTCAGTTCTATTTCTCACTCATTTATTCCCCTGTGGGAGCTGCCTCTGTATCTGACTGTTGCTTGGATCTGGAGGCCTCGCTCCTCTCAGCTCCACACAGGAACCCTTGGACTAGGCCCCCAGGGAACTGAGTCAGTGGAAACCTATAGAGAGCTTCCTCCAAATAACCCAAAGCTCTCCTACCTGGCCTGGAACATTCCACCCCCTTTATCTCAGACAACACTAGGTACAATTACAAACCCCAATATGTTGATGGCTTGACATGTCTCAAGTTTATTTTTTTCTTGTTCACAACCAGGTCCAGAATAGGGTGCAGTGGCTTCATTCCATTTAGTTAGCCCCTCTCAGAGAATGGGGACTCTATGAGCTTCAGCTAGTGTCTGCCAGAGTCACTCTGTGGAGGGACACAGAGCCAACAGGGAGTGAAGAAAGATGGCAGCCTCCCTTCTTTGCCCAGTTCCTGACAGAATGATTCCTCTAAGACCTTATAGCATGAGCTGCAAAGACGCATTTAGAATGGCCCTCAGTGTGTACCACACCTGGGCAACTGAGCAAAGAGTCTCTCGGCCTCTTCTGTGGTGTTTAGCTCTTTTGAGGGAAAAGTAGGTATTGACAATGGCCAGGTGAGTTTTTAAAGCAGGAAGCCTAGATGTGGGAAATGCTGCTTCTGCCCTTGTCCATGGCCACTCCTTGGTCCAGTGCAGATGCAAGGATCTTTGGGAAATGTCCTCTTGGCTTAGCAACTGCTTTCCAACATTCTCTGTTCACAGTGGAATGGGAGACTGAATCCTGGGGGAGTTTGCCATCTCTTCCTAGTGTCTAAGAGGTGTGTTTGAAAGGTGTTTACCAACTTACAGTGATTGGCTTAATTGATAAAGACCCTTGTCCCCCATTCCTTTGGGCCCCAGCAAGCAAATTTGAGCAGCAGAGGCTGGAGTATCCTCTGGGATGTCTCTTAGGCCACGGGTAGAGTGGCAAAGTAGAAGACTTGAAAGACAGAAGCCCAGGTGTAAGTTGTACCTCTGCTACTTGGTGGCTGTGTGACTTCAGGCAAGTGTTTGAACATCTGTAAGTCATCTATAAATGGAAGTCTATAATCGCTGACCTCAGAGGGAGCTTGTATGTTAAGTGTTGTACATATTTTCATTATTATGACCATGGTCTCTAGCTCCTCTGGTTGGAAGGGAAGGAATGGGGAAAATAAAGCTCAGTGGTTGGCAGGTGAAGGCTAAGCTTTGAGGGGGGCTTAAAAGCCAAGTAGAATCAACAGGATTAGTTGAAGAATTTGGTCAAGGAAGGCCCTTAGGAAAGACTTCCATAAGAGTAAACTTGGTCTTCCCCACAAAATGGTAATGAGACAAAGGTCATGAACTTGGTTCATGACCAAGGTTCCCACTTGAATCTCCATCTTTTCAAGAGCCTGACCCTTGAGCCTGGCATAACCAGTGAGATTTCCAATCTCTGTACTGGTCATAGAACTAAATGAAAGAGTGGCAAAACTCAAGACATTCCATTTTTGTGACTGCAACCCCACCCAAGAAGACATGGGTCCTCACATCAGCTCAGTTCTGATGATACAAAGCCCAGGGTCATCCCAGCCTGTGGGGTCTTGGGCCTCTGCCACCTGCAAGGTGGTATAGAAATGCTTACATAGGTCAGGGCAGCATCTCCTGTCTGTCTTTCCTGAGGAGGGGCATAATATTCACTACTGCCCAGTACTTCTGGGGTCCCTATCACCTGATAACCTTTGCCAGCTCCTCAACAGGCCAAAAATCAGGCAGATATAGCTCACAAAGAATTCTGAGTTTCTCTCCTGCTCTCCTTTGGAAGAAGTGGAATGTGAGTCTTCAGCTGAGAGGTCAGAAAGCCTGCACTGGCTTAGATCTCTATGTGAAGCTCTTAGGAAAGCCATTTTGCTATAGACATCTCTGTGTCCCTCTCTGAGCAGAGAAAAGTAGGTTCTGTGACCTATGATTCCCAAAAGCATCTACATAGCCTTGGCGCCAAGGAAGAAACGATGCCCAGGTCTATGTTCCATCTCTTTCAACCACCCAAGGTCACCTAGGCCCTGGGCTGTCATGCGGAGTAGGGCCTGCAGGCTGCTGTGGGTGGTAGACATTAATAACCTCTCTGCAGGACTGCCTCACTAACCACACCTGGAGCTTGAAGGCCAGCATGAGTCCCCCTCAGTGTCCCCAGGAGGCAGCCGGCCAGACCTGGCTCAGCTCCTTCTCCAGTGGCACAGGCTAAAGAGGGAAATGGAGGAGTAAGTGTGGCCTGAGCCTAACTTCCTGGGTTCAGAGTTATCTCAGCAGCTTGGTAGGGAGGGTTTCTTAATAGGCACAAGTGTTTGCAGAGTCTATATTAGTCAGGGTGCAGGAAGAAATAGATGGCATGTTCGGAGGCAGTGAGAGAAGCTGAGAAAGGGTATTTGTGAAGGAGTAAACACCGTCAGGGCAGCTGGCAGAGGATGGTGGCAGGTCCTGAGGCTGAGGGGGTGAAGGAAGAGAGCAATCAACAAAAGTCAAAGAGGAGAGCTGGAAGGACAGGACCACCTGACAAGAGCTGTGCCCTCGGTGCAAGGACACAACCAGCCCACAGTGACCCAGCAAGGACTTCTCTCGTCTTAACCTCTGTCTTCCTCTCAGGGCCTCCAGCTGGCCAGGACAAGTGCTGGGGTGGGGCAAAGCTTGGAGTTCAGCTAAGGGCTCAGCAGATTGGAGGAGCAGTGTGGAGAAGAGAGGGAGCGCTCCCCCTAGGCCAGGGTGCGGTGCACACTCTGGCTGTTTAAAATCAGTGGCTGCTTCAAGAGTGGTCCCAGCGCACCTCTCCAGCAGGCTCTGCTATATGCTTGCTCCTAGAAAGCCATCAGAAGGAAGCCTGATATTGAGGAGTTGAGTGAGCCACTTCAACAATGGGGGTGGGGGGGTGTTTCACTCATTGACGCTGATCTTCTTTTAGCTACTGTGCAGCCAGGCAGGAAAGCCCTCCCGTGCCCATATGTGCCCAGTTCAGCCAAATACATATTTGCACTAAAAGTTTATGTGCAAAAATGCATTCGTTTCACGTCTCATTTGTCAAGAGACATTTTGGTATTTGTGCTTAAAAATAAACATGAGCAAGATTAGCAAAGCAGAGCAGGCACAGGAGGCTGGGCGCCTTCTCAGCCACCTTTGTAAATCTGGCTCCTGATGAATCTGAACACTGACCGGCTTGTTAGGAACACTTTGTTGCTGATTGCCATGGGGGAGGAGGGAGGATCTTCCAGACAAAAGCTTGTCACTGGGAAAGGCGCCGCAGCGAAGCCTTAGTGCAGCCTGCAATGAATACAGTTTGCCACTGAATGGCCTATGTGTTGGCAAGAGGTTCCCCTCTGTAGGGACCTCAGGATTAGATCATGGTGTGTGAACCTCTAATTAGCCTCAGGGCTCTGGCTGGCAAGGAGAGGCGCCATGGCCCCCACAGAGAGCCGGCTGGATGTGGCAAATGCTGCCTGGTGCCCACATGGAGAACTGGCTTTCAATATTTCAATTAATAATGAGAGAAAGACAGCCAAGGCCATAGGTGTGACGGCTTTTGAGAGACTGTTACTGCTGGGAGCTATAGAGGGGGAGCATCCTTGGTGTTGCCATGGCAACCATAAACCATGACCAAAGGGGACTATGGGCAAAGTGAAGACACTCAGAACGACTCAGCCTGTGCCCTGGCAGATGACAAAGCTGGGCAAGATAGTGCCAGTGGAACCCTGGAGATTCATGGTGCAGCAGAGAAAGGGGCCCAGCACCCACAAACACCCCCAAAACTATTGCCTTAGACAAAGTCCACTTTTCCCTGAGCTCTGCTATGATATGAGTGTCACAATGAACAAGAAAATAAATCTGGCCAAATTTGTCCTCGAGAAGAGAGGGTGAGGCTCCCTGAACATCCTGAAAGAGGAAAG